TTCCGCAGGGGTGCACTTCAAACATTCGAGGAAGAGCTGTCTAAACTCCAGCAATGAGCCTATGAAGGATCTTGAAACATATGCGAGTCAAACCTCTGCCTCTACCTGCTATATTTGTTCACTCTTTTTGTTGCATTCCTTCACCATCTTTGAAAGCTTAGCACTCCACTGACGGAACTAAACAACGGTGAGGTAGATGCTTTGCGCCTTGGCTTTATCAGCTGTGAACGCAATCTTAGATCCTTGTGGCACTCTCCAAGTGCTTTCTAGCTGCCCTCCTCTGACCTCAGTCTTGTAGAGCTTGCCAGAAGTCAAGGTGCCCTGTCAAAAAAGTCAGCAAAACCCCGCAACAAGAACCACTTTTCTCACAAGAACCACTCAACCTTGAGTGCGAGGAAGATCACACCCAGCTCATCCAGCACCTTTAAAAACAGTAGGCATGTAGAGCAATTACCAAAATACACTCAAGCTCTCAAGCTACATGCTTGTTCGCCACTGTCTTGCTTGTCAGACTGAGCGTCTCCCAAAGTCTCAATTAGTCAGAATGTAATAGAAACATGCACCAATGCACCCCTCTTTCAAGCCTCTTCGGACAAGGTTGGCTGCAATCTCAAAGCTTGCTCCACGGCATCGACCTCTCCACACAACTGAACAGCAAAAGCAAACAAAAACCATGATAAAATCCGAAAAAAAATGAGATGAATCAACAAATAGAATTATATATATAAGGGTCTCTTTTTAGGTCTCTATAACTTTATTCGGGACTCTTACTATTTAAGGGCCCCGTGCCTTCTTTACTCATCATTTGTTTGTTTGTCCTTTCCAAGAGGCATTTTTCACAACCCATGGTCTGATTCTTTGTGAATCTCTTGCTGCCTTCTCAGGCTGTGCTGGCTTAGACTTAACACAGAGTAAGATCAACCACGAGCCGCGCAGCCGACGGAACCTGCTTCATGGTTTCCTCGTAGTGGGAAAACACCACTGGTCCTGGGGATTGGGTAGCGACATAAAAACAGATCACAGGTCCACGCCACATTCTTACAACACCTCCAGTCTCCGAGCTTTGTCTTATCTGCCGATGTGCAACAATCTACTACAATTAGAGTAGACTCTGTCACAGCAAAGTAGACTTTCGGTTCTGAAATTCCGAGTGATCAGAATGCGCAAACGTGCAATCCGTGTCGTGTTGCCTCATTCCCACTACACCAGCCCGAGGAGGAAAACACTATATTGACTGAAGTGCTATGGGCCACCTGAACGGTGGGCTTGAGACATGATCAACCTCGCCCGCACCTCCGTCATCTCGTTCGGAAGCCTGATTTCTCACTCAAACAACTGCTTTGTACAAGAAGACATGGTCTCCAATGAGTGCCTGAGAGCGTCAATCGATTCCGCAATTCAGCAGTAGTTCAATAGGTTTTGCAAAGTCCTTTGAGGTTCCTGCTTGGCTAAATCCTTTTGTGTATTCTCGCAATAGCCTGCAACATGACTGAGCAAAGTCCAAACGGTGAAATATCCCACCTTCCTGTTTGAATAAGGCTAGGTGTGGATCGCATGCTGGAGGTGGCTTTGGAAGGGTAACTGTGGGCCCATATGCAGCAACCATAAAACTGAAAAGTTTGTGCACTCTGGTGCTCGGTCCGAAACCTAACTCAACTTGTTTGCTATGTGGGGAATTCAAGAAGCTGCACGGTTCGATGCACCTCAAGGCCTCGGTGTTTTGAAAAGAGGTGTCTGCCTGCAGACCTTGGACAAAGGGACAACCCACGACACAAATGGACGGTGTCAGCCAAGGTAAGCACGAAGGCCCCAAGAAAGCTGAGCCTGGAAAGCCATTCAAACAACCAATGTACCGGCAAAAACACACCTCTTTTCAGCGCAAGCTACCAAACGGCTACATTCTGGCAAATGCTGGGGCCCCTGCGATACCCCCAACAAAAACAAAACATACCGCGGACATCAGCATGCCTGGGATGACGTCCAAACTCATTCTGTACATAGAAGAAGATGCTATCAACAAGAATGTTTCCTCTAACTTGCTCTTGATCCAAGTGACTGCTGAAAATACCCTCGTCGATCTCTTCCACTACCAAAGGCAAGAACACCACTGCCGCCTTGGCCATAGGTAAACCCTGCGGGCCCCAAATAGCTCCATCATCCCACTTGACAAGTTCCATCTCTCAGTACTGGACTGCGTTGCCGAGGCCAATCACGACTCCAAGCCTCAGGGATTTCTGGTTTGCTTTCAAGACATGATTGGTCTCATGCCTCCACTGACACTTCGAGACTTGCGCTGATCTAAATTGAATTCAAAGAACTGAAGATTCTACCAAGACCAGAACCAAAAATCTGCTCAGTCTCGGGCAAAAAGGGTAGTGGAAAGCTCGTAGATGGTGTTCGCAAAGCCCAGACCCACAGCAACAAAAAATACCTGAAGCTGAGGGGTGCACTTTTGCGCTCCGTCAAAATCTGAAAAGGGTCGAATCTTCTCGCCGCTTGACTACGCAATTCCCTGGACAGAAGAAACATTCGAGGATATACTGTAGTTCAAACGTCAACCAACAAGGGTCCAGGTTCAGGAGAGTGGGGGCATCCCATTGTTTGTTAAAGTTAAAGGATGTTGAAGGTAATCTCAAGTCGGCACGTTGACCCCAAATCCCCTGACAAAATGGTCGGTGACACCCACTCAGCACACTGCTGGATCAAGCCGGCACCAATGGCATACAGGTCGGCCTGCATAGATTTGATCGAAAAAATCCACCATATCCAACCCAAGAAGCCCAAGTCTATGTGAGCGCGCCAAAAAACGTATGGTGCCCGCTTGAAACGCTACCACAGTGTTGTCGGTTGCCTCTTCAGGTTCCTTTCGGCCCTGGGGGTGTTTCTGCAACTCATGCCTGGCTGGACTGTAGAAACTGCACGCCGGCCGCTGTCCGGGCGAGCCTTGATGCATCATCGGAACGGGGAGTCATCGGGGTGAAAAAAGTCCGGATTGATAACAAGAATATTGCTGTTCAGATCTTTTGGTCCAAAAAATGAGAAGCTGACCCGATCATTTCTTTGCCCCCGTTCCTACTTAAATTAAGTAGGCGCCTACTTAATAAAGTAAGGGAGTAAACACGCTACAAGCAATAGGAAGCTCCTAGCTAGGACGCAGGATAGCTCACACTTCTTCAAGGAAGCTCCCCCCGCCTGAGGGCAGGGGAGCTTCCTTCCAGAAGCGCTCGCACTAATCAATTGGTTCCTAGATTGTTAGGGACACATGGGAAACTTAGGGTGACATTATCACGTCATATGCATTCAATCTCCCGAGACTTTTGACTCCTTTTGAGCAGACGTTGAGCATGATATGGAGAGAACCTTCACTCGGGGTTGGAGCGTGCTCCACCGCTACCCGAGATCTGACAATAAATGTGATTGCAAAATCAGTCATTCGTCTGCCATGCTCTCAAGCCTGCCTGTTTCAAATGAAAAGAACGTAGCCAAAGATCTGTGAAATGTGTTCACCCAAGCCAATGTGTTCAAGCCCCGGATAGCAGCACTCTGCTGGGAACATGTTGGTTGAGTTCCCTGTTTTGGGATTGATAATTGATGAGTCTCTAAAGGCACTGTTTAAAAAATGGTAAGGCTCCTGTGATAGGGGCCCTTATGAAAGGAGCCTTTACCGTTCTTCATGTCTTTTGTTTGACTCTTCATAGGCTACCCGACAATTGTCCAGCCATGGCAGGTGGCAGGACAGCGCCTGCGGCAAGAAGACGCCTGGCGACCGACAAGAACGACGTCAAAGTGGGAATGGCCTGGACATGGTAGTCTCCACAGGAGGTAACAGGTCAGCATGTCCCCATTGGCTCACGAGTCCTTGCCTTGGTGTTGTGATGAAACTTATGTTATGATATGCTATGTATTCAAATTCAACCATCGACAACGTGGCAACCTCTCCTGAATGACCAAGGACTTCACACAAAATCATTTGGCTTCGCAACACTCTTGTGTCGAATCAAACCTAGTCCCACACTTTGCACTCCTAAGTCCCCCGTCAGCCAACGTCATAGGCAAAGCGATGGCCCACGAGCCTGTCAAGAGCATGATACATGAGAGGAATTCTAGATCAAAAAAATATATTTAAAGAATAGCAAGGCCCCCCCTCAACAAGGACCCTAAGGACCCCCCTAAAGGAGCCCTTCTGTGTTTATCTCTCTTTCCTTGCGCACCTACTCCACCCGAGCCGACTGGTCCTTGCGGCTTAAGAACCTAATAGGACTCCATGACGTCTTTCCTTCCTTCCAAAGTCCCTCACAATTAGTGTGTACACAGGCGTTTAGGCTGATCTTTTGCCGTAATTTATACACCTCCGACATCCTCCAGCTATCAAAATCACCTTTGCCCGACCTGGAGAGCTGAGAATGATCAACGGAAGAATCCGTTCAATCGGCGGCCAAAGTGTCTCTTCTCCTCAGCATCGTCACAACATAGGACAACGCAAGAACACTTAAGGAACCAAGAGCAACAAAAAGCCTCCCGCCCTATACTATCTGATGCTGATTTTGAGCCCTATCCTTGTTAGGTGTCCAGGGACAGCCCCTCTCAAACCTGCCACTGAAGTCCAAGACCTTTTTCTTGCAGCATATTTTGCTTGGTGGTACGTTGGCATGGCTTGAGACATCAATCTCGAGCAACCGGGATCGAAGACCGATCCGGATCAAATGTCCACTTTTCTGCAATCAGGTGCTGCTCTATGGGCTACATGGGCCAGCATCACTGTCATCTTCATCGCTTTCAACATGCCTTGGATGTTGAGCTGTTTCGTGAGAACATCAACAATCAGTTCGGCACTTGACCTCCAGAATCTGCACACCAAAAGAACTTTGTCATGCATTGTCAGCAAGCTGAAGCTGTTTGCAGCTGGAACTGCTCCAGAATAGTTCGCGTCTCGTTTTCTGTCATATCCTTGCATTGTCCGGTGCTTCAAAGTGAACAGAACTCAGGCTGAGGCAAACAAGTCAATGCGGCCGAGAACGCCTACAAACCTTCACTACCTTAATTCTAGCTTTGAACTTCAGATGCAGATCGAACAAAGTCCCCCCTAGATCTGGCCGCGTGTCGGAAAGAATTGGATCATGATAGTAATCACCTGAGCTGCCAGCAGTGTATGCACTTCACGATTCGCCTAACTGAACCTTTCGACATTAAAGCAATACGGGATCAAATCATAGATTGCTTGGCAGTACCAAGCAAAGAATTCCCAAAATGAACTGTTTGTTTCCAAATTGTCGGCTTCCAAGTCTAAGTGATGATATGCGTTCCAGGTCTCTGGAAAACTGCTCTGTCACCGCGGCAGAGGATGTTTCATCTGCCAACACAGCAGCACGATACGGCAACGCAGCGCAGAATGGCATGAAGGTGCGTTGGCCTCAGTGCATTGTCTGCCATCTGATGCTCGCAATATATACAAAACAAATTGTTGGAATGGCAATACACATGTGAAATGTATATGATTGTATATGTATTTATTTGCAAGAGAGAAGCAATGCCAAGCAAAGATTAAGACCAAGAAGGAAAGTATCCAAAGCGCCTGACAAACTTTCGGTACTCACAGTCCAAAGTCCGCCCGCAAAACCAAAGGATTGGCACATAGGCACTGGGCTCCATGCCAGGCAGTGAGGAGACTTCGAGCCCTTGTGACTGGCAGCTAAGCCGGATAGAGAAACTGTACCGAAGAAGACACCCACAATGAGACCCCAAAAGCACACGTACCTGGGACAGCAAATCCACCATTTATATGCATCAAACCCTTCACAAATTGAGCCATGACGTGCGCACATAAAACCTGTCCTTTCAAGGGACAACAGAACCCCATAGGACTGCACAATCCGCCAGGGTGCCACGACTCGCCCAGAAGATCATATTGCTTGGTGTAGACATGCACAAAGAGCCACTTGTACACCAAGAATGCGAGGCTAAAGTAGAGCAAACCTCAAGCCGCTTCCATCGCTTTGGTACTGAGCTCTTCATAAACTTATATACATCACCCTTTTGGCTGCCATCGGATAAGAGGACAATTTGCAGAGGAGGCACAAGCCGGCATCATCACGGGTGCAACTACACAGTACATCAGAGCCAAAACAAAGACGATGTTGATGTTCGTGACCTTTACAGCAAGTGAAATCACTGCCAGAACTGTTTGCTCCTGATCTTGACAAGATCAGCTGAGCGGCTTCGGAGGCAAAGAAGCAATAGACTGGATTCTCTGGACCAGGATCAGGCATCTCCTCTGAAAGAGCTGGAAAGAAATGTGCAAGTTGAACAAATCCTAAGATTTGGCAATGAAAATCTGAGGGTTCAGTTGTTCATTCAGAAACTCCTGATCGCTTGCGCTGTCAGATTCACTCTCCACAGAGTCGTTTTCCTCTTCGGCCTTATCGGCCTTGTCTTTAGGTTTGTTGCTCCCAGGTATCTCAGCGCACACGCAATGAACAATCAAGTAGAAACACGATAAAATTGGCCTGCTCATCAGCTCACAAATCAAGACATTAAAGCTGCAAAAACCCGAGGTGCAAATAATGACAGAAGGCCATCAGGGCGCAAAAGCAATAGTGGCAAGCTCACACCAATCCTTCAAAGGTGGCCAACCCAATTTCATACAAAGGCTTGGATGTGCCGAACAAATTGCTGTCCTGGTGATCACAAACCTCGGACAATTGAACGAACTGATTGAGGGTGCAGGAGATTCATCTGTTTCGATGATTCATGCAAATTCTGAAGTGTTTGGAAGGGTTTCCAAATGCTGGAAAGATACGATATAAAGTACACCTGAGATATACTTTGCAGCGACATATCTTGACGCATACTGATTTCCTATCAATGTTTTTTCGCCGCTTTGGACCACTCGGCTGGTGTTTCAAGGGAAAATGGTTTCTCCCCGTCCTCCAGGCATTGAGGGCAATCAACAAGTTTCACCATTGCAGTGATAAAACATAAGCCCAGGAAGCACAAACTGGTGGAATAGCGGAGCCAAGGATAGTTGCCATGCCTCAGGCACGGCATATACAAAACCCATAAAACCTCAATACTTGGATGTGGATGTTATCTTGTTCTCTGTCCGTGCCATTTTGAGCCCACAGCTCTTGCAAAGGCTCTCACAAACTGGACTCGCGTCGGAGTGTTTAGCTCGGGGTGCGTACAGGAGAGCAAAGCCTGTGGAGGCCCTTGATTTTGTCTCAGTGGCATCTCGGGTGCTCCAGAATTTGCCCGATCGATCGCGCCAATGAGCTTGTAAAAACCTCGGGCCAATCAACGGTTAAGCATGTAGCTGCATCTGCACAAAAACGATGTCAGAATTCTTTGGAAGCATCCCTGTCTTACAAGAAAGTTGAATTTTGGCCACAGCAGGAGCAGCAGGCTATCCGCGCTGCGGAATGCATTGGTTTTTCCTTCAGCTACCACATGTTAACTGAGCATCTGAATAGGCTTTATGTTAAGGAGTTATAATCTCGCAAGCGTGTCCGGGCCGTCACAAGGAAATAGTGGAGTCTGGCCAGCTGGCACTCAGGAGGAACGGTACATTCCTTCCAGGCGCTTCACCACTTGAACACTTGGTGGCTGGTCAATACATCTGATCCAGCCTTCTTACCAAAGCACTGGCTTGAATTTGAGGTCTGATGCCTCCTCAACCATAAGTAGCAGGTCCGGGTGTGGAACTTTTTCCTAAGCGGATGCAATTGACTCTGCTTCGCTTGTTACTGTCTCTCTGGTGACCAGTGAAGCAGCGCTCGCCTGTGCCTGGCCAAAAAGAAGAGGAACTTAGCCTGTGACCACATGAAAGAGCTTGGATGGCACGGGAGTGGAGAGGCGGCACGGGTGTGAACTGCAAGGAGCGTGGTTGCTTCCGTATCTTCTGTCCGCTTTGTGCCACTGGAGGCCAGTGTCCACATGGGATTGTGGCACGGGTCATCTCCCATGCTGGCTTCTGATATGGCGCACCAAAGCGCAAGAAGATTTACACCAAGCCTGTTTGGACGAGAAGGCGCGTGTGGTCCACAAGACTATGTATGTCGCAGTCCCCGCTTATTTGCGCCAACACCACTATGTTCAGCAAGGACTTGGATACCTTGTTGAGAAAACCTATGCGGCAAATGATGTGTTAAGACTGAAGTGTGAATTTAAACGGAAGCAAACGCAAAACATGTGGACCTGCGGCTTAAAAGCGTAGGGGATGGACGGGGCATAGGGGGGTAGAGATCAAATAGGCACTCAAGCATTGTGCCCGTCCACAACGCCACTATACAGAAACGAAAGCGAGTGCCCTTCCATCGACAAGGAGTCTTGCAGGACTGGCCTGTGAATTAATCGGCCTGCGGTGCATTTACATCTGAGTAGGCACTTCCGGACATTGTCTGGACTGGATTGACTGGAACGATTGAAGCCTTCATCCTATACTCAGCTGGAGCAGCCGCTGGCTTCAGGTCCTCCACCGATTTATGTCACAGAGTATTGGACAGCGTGCGATTTCCAGCACCGCGCAGAGGGAGAAGGTATTTCCAAAGTTTATGAGTTTCCAGCCACATCCCACCCTAATGGCGATGGCCTCCAACCTAGTAGCGCTGGCCTCCACCCTAATAGCGGCTGGCAGCTCTTTGTCAAGATCTGCTTCCTCTGGAGCCTGCACATCTGATACGCCAAGCTCACGCACTACCAGGAAAGTTTCTATGTGCCACGGAGCGAGCTGCTGTCGGTTGGGCCAACATAGGTCGTAATCAACTGAAAATGCGCACTGATTAACTGATTGGTTTTGTAAAGGCTGACAGGTTTAAGCAAAATATGCTTTGAGGTTGGCTGATGGGAAAGTATACAGGGTGCGGTTGAGAGCCCTTCTACAAAAGGGCTACAATCCTCAACTAAATTTATCAGAGATCTAGAGATCTGGGTCTGCTAAACAAAGGGTCCCAAATCAGAAGAATGTTACCCAAGGGAGAAGCAGTAAATGGCCGGACTTCTCCAGGTCACCGAGAGCCAGAGAGAGAAGAACTGGAACCAAAAGTTCCTGCCAAAACTCAGAAAAGTGTTTCATGCTGACATAGCAAAGGAGTACAGTACTCAACAAATTCTGGCCTTTGAGGTTCTGGTCTCATCACTGAGGCTTTATCTCTTTTATGTTTCCGTTCTTTTTAGCCCGCTTCTACTTATAATTAAGGAAGGGAGAAGTTCGCTCCTAGCTACCTAAGCTTCTAGTATATACGTGGACGCAGGATAGCTCACACTAATGATTTGGTTCCCAGATGTTCAGGGAAACTCAAATACTGGCCTTTGAGGTTCTGGTTGGAAAACCCGGTGCATCTGTAGCCACTGAGGTCCTGTGCATTACGGAGATAGTGACCTCTGCATAGGACTTGCGAGCCTGCCAGAGAGTGAGGCCACTGACTGAGGAACGCTGAGCACTAGAGTGGAAATGAATTGATGAATTGTGAGAAAATCCGTGTTCTTTTTAGATTAAAGTTTGAAGGGTGAAGCAGAGCGGATTCTCCGTTGCAAGGCTAAACCATCCAATGTCTGCTTTTCCGCTGCTCACTCCACCGAAGGGTGAAGACTTAGGTGACATCAACCCAGCGTGGTGAATTTCTCTTGACTCCAAAGTCTCCGTCATGAATCTGACTTCTTGTCCCTTGCCAAACGTCAACAAGTCATCTTCAAAAAAGGTTACTGTCTGAATGGCACCTTCGTGCTCCTTCCCAATTGTTCCTGCCAACCCCGGATTATGATCATGGGCACGACCCCCCCTGCCCTATCAAAGTTGCCTCCACGAAGACTGCAATCTGGTGCAGAGCCTCATCCAGTCCGTGTAGTGCACTGACAATCTCACATCTAAAGACATGTCAATCCGCTTGGCCCTTCTGAAACCAAGAGTTACAAACTTGGCAGCAGCAGCAAATCAATACAGTTACAAGCTGGTTTGGCTAAGTATGATGATGCTTGTGTAGATGTATTATATACATTTGAACGATGGACAAAACTTCTTCGTGTCCCCAATGCGAAAAGTATTTTGGGTTGACCCAAGTTGACCCCTATCGGTTTACAGTATTTTAAAAGCAGGCAAAAAGCTACGTTCAATAAAGAAAGGGTATAAGGGTCCCCTATCGGTTTTGCAATGTGTTGACCAATTCAGAAATACTTATGGCAGTCCATGACTAAAGTATATGTACGGCAGGATTTTTTGTCACATGCTCTGTCATATATACACTGGGTGTTACCAAATGTGTGAGTTTGCTCCAGACTCACACTTGTCACATTGGAACTTTTGATTTAAGCATGGATAGAACATTTACAGCTTGAAGCCAAGGGAAAGCTTGTGGTGTGCTCGGTGGAGATCCATCATTCCCGCTTCATCTGACCGAGTAGCCCATGGCAACAGCACGAGGAGCGATAGCAGTGCAACCACAGGCAAATAGATTGTCTTGGGTTGTCGAGCAGGCAGCGATGGGAAAACTACAAAGGTCTAGCACCGCGATTTGTAGCCGCTATCATGGTGTCCAGAAATGCACAATGAAGAGAGGACCAAAAAATGAACTTCGCAAGACTGCGCTGGTACACTCAGCCAAGGTAGTTGTACGTATTCCCAAAAGTTGCTCGCCATGATCACAGCCAAATGCAAGACAAGTTGCAATAAATGAGAACACCTGGGAACCATTGCTTCCCAGCCCATTACAAAAAACAAATCTTCACTCTATATAAGTGGTTCAGCGAACGACGTAAACATGTCAGGTTTTTGCTTGGATCTCATCATGTCATCCATGTGCGCGGCAAAACAAATGCAGAATTATTATATAAGCGTCTTCCTTTGTTCAGAGTCCAGTTCACCTACTGTGTGGAGACATTTGATTTGAAGCCGGGCCGCCGTAGGATAGTTTTCACTAAGCCATGCGACCCAACCATGCGGCAGCATTTGGTCCAGCACATTTTTCTGCGACAGGGCCTGCCGGGATGTGCGGCCTGAACTCTCGTGGCACCCACCAAGAATTCCGACTGTAGTCATGAGTCATGGGAAGATTTAGTTGTGTCATTGTGGCTTGGATTGATTGTATGGGCTCACGGTTCCCAAGGATTGAGGTTGCCGTAGCCCGCCACAACACATCAGACCCCCTCAATGTACTCAATGTATCTTCAGTCTTCGGCAGTTCCTTTTAGCGAACATTGAGTGTAACCTACGTCAGCAAGAAAGTGTCCCACTGTCTACACTGGGGCTATCAAATTCGGCATTCATGGGTCCCCCGGCCCAGCCACAGCCTGGATGGCAGTGATCGGGAATGACCAAAAAATAATGCCCATCACGCAGACCGCTCTGCCGACAAAGCGTCTTTGCCTCAAATGTGCATCTACTATTTGGGACATCTCGCTTGGGGCTACAAAATTTAAGGGGGTTGTTGCAAAGACTTTGGCAGCCTGCATGGAATGCGAAAATTCATCTTCTTTTTCTACCGGAAAGGCCTTTGGGGTCTGCCTTTGAGGTCCCCATCTTCTGACATGAAAAGCATTTGCGGTGACCCCTTCGACCGTGACACAAGAACCCTACACGAATGTTGTTGCAGTAGAACTCATGTCAGAATTGTGTCCGCAGAAAACCTTCTCATCCTGCTATCTCTGCCATTTGCTGTTTCTCTCTGTCTCTCTCTCTCTCTCTCTCTTCCTTGATGCTTTAACGGATGAAGAGAAAACCCAGCTGCGTGTTTCTTTTTGTGAAAACAATCAGCTTCGGTGCTTGGACTATCCTATGATCGTGACCTTAGACACAACTCGTCCTTGCTGTGGCATATGCGCGCTCAGCTCAGCTCACCTAACTCACGTCAAGCTTCTGCATCTGATCAAATGGAAGTTGGACGTTTTCCCAAATCACATCATCAGCCTGATATCAGGCTGATGTGCCGATGGGCAGATTCTTGATCCCAACAATGCTAACCCCTCAACAGGTAGTCTGAAATCATTGGGTCTGGCGTTCTCACGTTGGAGGGTGCAACTGTTGCCTCGCACAAGCGGAAATCAAAGAATATCTGAATATCGTTCACTGGGATCAGAAGTTGAGACTATGTCTAGTTTTAGTGGTCAACATACCAGCATCTGATGGCATCCATCTGAGTTTGTGGAGAGTTGGGTCTTCAACGACGGCGACACCAAGATGGCCTCTGGGGCAGGCTTGACAACTATCTTCTCCACGCCATCAGCACCAAGATCTCTTCCAGCGTCAAAGAGTGGAATTTGCTCTGCAATGACACGGTCCTGACACTTGAAACATCTTTAAACTGAGCTATTCCCAGAGACAAGTTCGGAAACAGCTTGGCATGACCTAACTTGAATTCATTTGTGTATAACACTTAGGCTTCAAGTCTTTGGAACAAATGACAAAGGAAGGATGTCCAACCTGTCCCATGTGTCAGGACCAAGCAATGAATGGCGAACGGCTGGGACACAACGCATTGCTGAGTTAGTCTCAGTCCAAAGAATCGTTCAAGCTCCTGTATTGGGGACATGCATAGAGAGAGTGAGCCAAGCGGTCTGATAGGATTGAGTAAAGGAGTAAGTGCTTGAGCCAGTGATGAACACCAGTGAGAGTGGGCGAGAGTTGGTCGGGATGGCTCCGGTTTGAGCCAATCATGATGAAGTTAAATTAACAAGGCATTGATAATGTCGAGATTCGATTCTCCATTCGTCGTGAAAAAGTCATGAGTCATGCTTGCTAACCTCACCTGCCCCACATGGCACTTGCTTAAGGAAGTGGGACTCTTGCCCGCAGCAGCTTTCATGACCAGCTGCCATGCCCCTCTATTGCTAAATCCTTAAAGAACTAGGTGAGGCTTTGACCAAGGTTCTGAAAGCTTCCGCAAAGTGACAAATGCAGTTGAGGTAGGTGCGCATTCCGATTCCGCATCAAGACGGTGCGACCGTCTCAATTCCGGTCTCGTCCAAGCAGAAGACGCACTGCCCTCGGCATATTCAGCTGTGGATGCAACCCCAGTTGGTCCTAGAAGTTGTTGGAACGGTGGCTCTTTTTGTGCCAAGAGTCGCCGTCAGTCGCATTGGAATGCTTCCCTAAGAGCTCCTTGACTCCCAGCTGCGTGACGAGGTCATCCCGCAGCTCAAGCACCTTGCTTACAGCCCTCACTCTGTATAGGCTCAAAAACAGTCTGGATATGTTTTGGTGTACGTCAGCCTGCGTCCTACGCCTGCGGCTTACGGCCACTGGGGGTACTAGAATGCTAGATATGGATGTTGTTCTGATTCCTATCTCCAGGTTCGGCTGCGTAGAGCGCATGCGGAAGGTCAGGCTTACTTCCTTAGCTAATTGGGCTGCATGAAGAGGGGACCTTTATGTTGCCACAACTCGAACTTAGTGCCCCAAGTATGCAGACGCCTGCCCATCCATGGCAAAATCCTGCACATACTTCCCAGCTTGCCTGCAACTTGAATCTAAACAGGTGAACTTGCAGATCATCTAGTAGTGAATGATTAAAAGGGAGCAATAGAAAAAAGCAGCATTCTTCATCTGGGCTTCGCTTGAATGCTCTACAGCCTATGGTCTACATTGTGACAACTACCAGCTTCTGCAACACTACGATCCTACAATTCTATAACACGACTGCAATTTGCCAAACAAACGTTTGAAAAGAAAGACACAATAATAAATCCGAACCTGTACTTCTGCGCAACCTTTCGCTCAAATTGCACCGTCTTCTCCAAATACCGGTGGATACATCCCTGCCAAAAAAAAAACATCAACATGCCTAGCCATGCTGCTACCAAAACTGTCTACCTTTTGTCAAGTGCGGTGCTTGACTCTGTTGAACTTCCTGGCCTGGCAGCACTTGCACACAACGATGGCTTCACCTACGAGTTGGGTGTGTGTGTGTGTAAGCTATACCAGTCTGATCCATCTTCGCAGCTTAGCGCCAGGCTGGTCTTTTTCAACGCTCGCAAATGATAGAAGAGCAGCGTGTCACGCTGAGCCGCAACTGAATGAACCCTGCCAGCTGGTGAGTCGAATCTCGACCCAAGCACCCTCAACATGGCGGGTAGACTGACGAGGGAAAATCTCCGAGAACAAAGCCAGGAGATTCTTGTTGTCCTTGTCATGAAAACTGGTCTAGTCTGCACACAGTATGCTTGCTTGCGTTGGCTAGCCCAGTCCTGGTATTTGTCGGGCAATCTCTCCACTAGCAAGGAAAATTGTGCCTGCACGCGAGAGACCTCAGAACCTTAATCCCTGGCCTCTTGGCACTTTGGCCTGTGCGGAGGAAGTGCCATTCTTCCCCACAGCACGTCGGAGGAAGTGGCTTTGGCGAAGACTTACAAAGTGTCTCCACTCCGCACCTTGGCAAAAAGCTGTCATTCCCACTTGAAGCTTCCCTTACAGCCAGCAACAGCAAAGACTTCCGCAGGGAATCCAAACAGTTCTGGAAATGTTTGAGCAGAACTGATAGGACCTGATGAGTGGCCTGGGTTTGGATTTATCCTTCTCTCTCAAAGTCCTGGAGATTGCAGCCACAATCCCATTACTATCCCCCCTTACCTCTTCACTTAACATAACATCATTGTCAGCTCGACAATCAATGTCGTGGCAATATCTTGACAATTTGTTTTGGGGTCCATTCCACTTTCGATCTTGTACCTGCCATCGTCGCTTGCTCTCGTGTGCACTGATAAGTCACCACAGAATCAAGCTAGCTGGGATAAACACAAAGGTCTGAGGTTTCATCTCCCCGCAAACAACCACTGCACATTCCGGGAAAGATGAACGTCCTCTTCCCAACCTGCACAAGGAGCCTCAATTACCAACCTCACTGTGCGTAACAAGTTGCGAATGAGCCAGAAGAAATTGAAGACGAGAAGGTAGGCAGCTACCACCACAAACCAAAAGACGTACTCATCATCATCTGGGCTCCTTAGAGACACTCAATGGTCCCAAAGCCCGAGACCTGTCTCTGCCAAGATATAGAGTTTCAGCATTCATAAACTTCTCTCCACTGGGTAGCAGATTCGTCATTGTCCAGGCAAGCACGCCTTTCTCCGGTCCGTGAGTGCTGGCATAGATGGGACACAGCACCTATTTCGACAGGTCATTTAAAAAACAAATAGACAACTGATTGTAAAATTGAAGTGTTGTTTTTTCATCTGTTCTTTTTTATCTTCCTTCTTTAGTGCAATTGCATGTTCTTGGTCAAGCTTTTAGGACTCCAGCACAAGCAATCAGAGTGCCAAAGGCAGAGAATTTCAGCCCCAATAGACAAAGCCGAATTACCTTGGCACAAATAAACGCAGCAAGTCAAGGTTCACACTGTGTTCACACACAGTTCACACCTGTCAAAGCTGAGACGACCACGACTTGTCCATCAATGCTTATCTCATCCATATCATCATACTGTATCCTGCACACATCACCTCAAGGGCTGCTGCTGGTATCAATATCGGGCACGTTCTTGAGCAAGGGCGTGTTTCAACAGCTGAGACCGGAACGAAACCACTCATGTGGCATTCCTGAATACTAGGACATGAACTTTGCAAAAATAACTTCTAGGCGACACGCTGTCACAAAAAGGTGCCACTGAGACGGGAAGAACATGTTTTCAGTCACAGTCCTATTCCACCCGCACCGTGCTTCTTTGGCACAAGGACCTGCGGCTGGGAAGCGAACTTGGGAGTGATGGTTTGCGCGTGATGCAACAGCTGCAACTACAGCTGGATTGAAAAGGAACTTGAAGCTGCAGCTAAACCACGCGGCGGCCCCGCTCACTGCGGGAGATCAGCCACATGGCCAAGACCGCCCCAACAAGGGCACAGAAATTGATCGCCTCAAAGTGAAGAAACACGCTCTAGCTGCGATTCTTACTCATATAATATCTTTATCCTGGTGTTTGGTAATTCGCCGAAATCTTCCCTGGTCAGGTTTCTTCTTTCGGTGGATTGTGGTAAAAATGTTCAAATGATTCTTCCGAGCTGGGACTGCGGCCATTGCCACCGCGAGACCTCCCACCTGAAGTCAATGAGGACCCCGGCACTATATATATACTAGAAACAAAGTCTGTGTTTTTTTCTTCTGCTTTCTTTCGGGGATAGGAAGTGAAGGCGGCTGGGGGAAGGAGAGCAGGGGAAGTTGATGAGAGGTAGCTCACTAGTTTAACCAAGTGGATGCCCTGAATGAGGCTGCAGACCTGTACAACCTATACTTGATCGTCACTCACCCACTCGCTTAGAGCCCCTTCTGAGAAGGCCTCGTTGGACTTCACGCTGGCAGAATTGATGGTAAGATCGGAGCAGGTCACCACTGAGATCTTCTCATTGGCCGTAGTGTTAGGCTCAACGGTAGTTGTAGTGTCCAGGCCTTATGCGAGCTGAACACTCTGCCACCACATGTCGGCCCAGCTCCAGCTAAGTTGAGCAGCTAAGTGAAGGGCCAGGCAGCGTAGGCAGTACAACCGGGGGAAGTGTGGGAAGCGTGCCCGGCAAACTAGGCATGAGGGTAGTGACATCGATCATGCTTGACCTGCAGGGTCAAACAACTATGACAGTTTATTTTTATGCCTAGCAAGTGCCTCACCGAATGAGCAACCTCGCGTTGTCAGGCGGCCATGGCTCTGCTTCAGCTCTGAAGAATGAGAAAGTAAATTTGATATTGAGCTCTTGTTTCGCAGACTCATAGACTCAGTCGCAAAAAATCGGTTGCAAAAGACTTTGTCGGTGGAAAGTCTTTCAACCAACATCTTTGGTTGCAAAAATGTTGCTGGGTTGTTTTCACTGCGTTTCAACGTGGGCTGCTGTCATGTTATCGTGCACTCCTTTCAAGAGCTGTTTGTCATATTTTCCACTTAGACCTCTGGTCACAAAAACTTGCAGGCTCCTGCAGAACTCATGCAACTTTATGCGCATGGAGTAGAGCAAGACTGCCCATGTCGAGCAGCTTTGACTCTGCAAGGCTCTGAGTGCCTGGCTACAAACAGACTGAATCATGCACCAGGCCTGCAACAACAGTGCGTAGAAAACCAATGGGCATCAGCTCTGAATGGCATTCCAGTTCATGCCTCATTATAGAATTGTTTCAAACTCATGTTTACAGGATTTACAGGTGTCTGAACCTTCCAAGTGGTCAGTCCTCACAGAAACCGTCAAGTTGGAGCCAAAGCGAGGGAAAGAAACACAGGCTGGCTGGACAAATGTGAAGAATGTTATAACTGTTAAAATGTAAAGGACCACAGGACCAGTGAGGATGTCAAGGAAACCGCAAGGAAAACAAGAAAACTGGATAATAGGACCGTAATAACATCCAACCAAGGATTTAAAAGTCAAGGCTGAAAGGAAGGCCAAAGGAGGCTCCGATCCAACAAAAGGAAATAAGAGCAGTAACCTCATGGCAATCATATGCAATCATATTTGAGCGATGAAGGAGCGCCGAATATGGAGAGGCATAGAAGCCTGCCAGACCTGTGGCAGAGTCCGGTGAGTTTGATAAAGAAAATCCAAAGGACAAAAGGAGCACTTTGGAGACAAGTGAGTAGACAATGGAAGAAAGCCCGTCCTACAAGAATGGAGATCGGAAAAGAACAACGAATGAAAAGGGCAAAATGGGTTTCAAATCCGGAGGGAAGATATGTGGGACAAAGCTCTTCCAATCATCTTTTGCAAGTTTAGGACAACAGGATCTTTTTCACATGTTTACGCATTCCAGCCTGACGCACCTGCGTTTTACCAGAACTTGAGGCCAGAGGGGGTGAACGAAAGCTAGCCGGGCGGCGTGCGCATGCTAGGGTGTGGGGCGCAGACCACCAAGCAACAGACCACCAGCAGCAGCAGCAGACCACCAAGCAACAGGAGACCACCCAGCAGCAGCAGCAGCAGCAGCAAATGCCCACCCGCTCACCGCACGCAGGGCGGAGGGGGGGTCGTTAACGTTGATTTCATCAATTGCTTCAGGTTTTCTCAGGCGCGTCCACCCCGTCATTTAACTTGCTACAGCAAGAGCAACTTCAGCTAGCTGAGGCTAGCTTTCGTGACAAGACCTCTTTCTTGGCTGCGGTTTGCAGTAAAATGCTAATGAGTTCGGCAAACACAGCTTTCACGTGACATTTCCACTGTGTGCCTTTGAGGCCTTTGAGACTTTTCATGTTGGACTCCTGTGCACTCGTTCTACCCAGGAACTTTTTGTCACCTAGGCTTCCGTGTGGCATGTGGCAGTCAGACCGTACATACTTTATCCCTCCTCGTGAGCCCTCCATGGCCCCGGGTAATATTTTGGCTGTCCCTCTCAGAGTCTCATCCCGTGTTCTCTTTCATGTGTGTTTTCAGCTCGCTTCTTGTTGTTCTTTTGTGTACACATCTGCCGGGGAGCGCATATGTGTGTGTAACTCTTGGTGCTTTCAAGCTGACCCTTCTTTCGTGTAAAGACCCATTGCACTTGTGTTTTGAGTTGTGTGTCTTGTGAACGACAATGGCCTCCAACTGGTAGCGGGGACAACTTACTAGTGATGGCCTCCAACCTTGCCATTTTTGGTTTTGGCAACTTGCTTTTTGAGTCTCTTGCAATGATTTGAATCTTGTGCTCTAGGACGGCCTCCAACCTGGTAGCAAGGGCCTCCAACCCTGGTGCGATGCGATGACCTCCAGCCTTGCCATTTTGAGTTCTTGCATCTTGCATTTTGATAGCGAGGGCCTCCAACCTTGTCGCGTTGGCCTCCAACCTACCAGTGATGACCTTTAACCTTGTCGTTTCTGGCAGTTTTGAGTCTTGTTTTGCGCGCTGGCAATCTGCCCCCTCTAGCCTTGCTGAGCAAGGATTTGTCTCCGTCCCTGCGCGTGGGACCAGAGTTATTAGCGAGCGTAGGATGGGATGATTCTTGAGCAGGCTGACTCTCCCCCCCCTCTCTTTTTCCCTCCTTCTCTTTCCCTCCCCTTTCCTACTCGGGCGTCCTTGGACGCTTCCGTCATAGCCGGGAACCCCTCCCCTGTCTGCTCTGTCCCTGGACCCTTACGTGAAGCATCATCGATTCTTTTCCTTTCATTCCCTCTTCCCTTTCTTCTTTCCCTTCCCCACCTTCCCTTGTGCGCGTCGTGCTTTACAACAAACCAGGCGTTCACAACAGGTCTTTTAATGAGGTTCGGCTGCTCATCGGTTTGTCCCCTCTCATATGGTTCCCTCTTCACGGGCCCCCCACGCCACACACTGTCTATATACTTCTTTTCTGTCATGTCCTTTCTGTCTTGATTGGCCCGTAGTTTTTGCACACGTGCGCGTACAAACCAGGTTCAGGTGCCCCAGGTCTGCTATAATGAGGCATGGTTCATTGGTTGCCCCCCCTTCACTTGGTTCTCCTTCATTGGCACTGTCTTGTCTCGCTCATCGTTCATGGACCATTCCCACTCTCCCTCTGGAATCGATTCTGATACAGTGCCAAGATGGATCAACTGCAATCTGACTATACACAGAACGCATGCTAACATGGACCGCGTTGGTAGAGGTCAACATAGTCAGGTGGAGGCTAAGATGGACCATGCCACATACCCCTAGGGCCTACCCGAACTTGGTCTAAGTTAGTCTCAACCGAGGTACTGCAGGTGCAAAACTAGACAGTTTGTTTGAAAAACTGCATGCTTTCAGGATTAATTTCCAAACATGGATATGTGATATATTTTGATCGTCTGTACTAGTCTGTACAGTCTTGTAGAAATGTTCGATCAAATTGTTCAATATCATAAGTCACGGGATCAAATGATTGTTTATTGCATGTTATACCGTTTTGCTAGAATCATAACATACTTACAATATCATTGAATCACCACAATTTGTGTTCTCATCGAGAAACCGAGGCTCGCACTGACAAAGAAAGTGCCAGAATGACATAGACGGAGACAACCTTATCATTGATGCGGCTGCAGGCAGAGGCACAAAGCCTTCGAGTCTTGGCTTTGAACCCCTAGGCGACTATTTGCACGTGCAAATAATGTCCGGAAACATCATCAGGAGCATCACCAAATGCATAAATGTCTCCAGCATGTCACTCTCGGTTCCCTGGCCACTCTGAAGAGGTACCAGCATGGCCTGAGACTCAAAGCTGGATTAACATGTGCTGTGGCTTCAGCCTTCAATGTCACAGGTGAGTTAAGGTCCAGTCTTGTGCCCTGATGCTGAGGCTCAATCTGGTTTCTTGTTGCTTGTGTTTGCTTCACTGACTTTGTGTCCTGTCTTTCCTTGTCTTTGTCTTTTCAGTGCTCGTTCATGCAGGAGTGGTTGTGCCTTGCCGTATATATGATGTATCGCTGGGCAAGTCTATAGAGTAGTTCTGAAACTTCCAATCAATTATATAAGTCCAAACAATCCTATTAGTGTTGTGCCATCTATGTACCCTGCAAACCTAGCATTCACCCTTTGGGCAGAGCCTGTCCCTAGCATCCTCCAGCGACACCCAGTGGAATCGTGTTATTCAAACAGCAAGCAAGTTGTTTCTTAATACATCATGAATGCAAACAACTGTACCAAATGCATATACAGTATATATATATAATATATATATATATACACTCAGTCCAACCACTCAGCTGCATGCTCCGAGAGCTTGTCTGCTAGGAAGGACAATGAACCTGGCATATCGAGCTGCTACTTCATTGCTGGATAGTGCAGAGCAGAAAATACATGAAAAAATACATCTTCATTGCCTATTGCAACCTGTTGCATGCACGCTGGGTGTCTGTGGTAGTGCAGGTTCAATCCCCAAGCATTCTTGAGAGGCCACCTGATGACCGCAGAGTTTGAGGCTTCTTTGTTGGAGCATCCACCCAGAAGGAGACCTGCACCCATCACAGAACGCCAAAGGTCAATACCTTCGGCCATATGCTCTCTACCCTTGCTTAAACGGTCCACGGAAAGTCGCAGTGTATGAAACATCCCCTCTCCTTTTTGTTACAAAAGCTGTCAACTGCAATCACTGAGGGTGTGCGAGGACTAGTCTGTTTGAGACATCGACTTGAATTCTGTGTGCTTCTGCACAAGTGAAACTGAATATTGAATCTGACAACAACCTGCTCTTTTGTAAATGGATGGATTCCGAAATCATATCAGTGGAATGCATTTGGCAAACGAGGACTGCTGACTTAAAAATAACGTTCATCAAGAAGTGACAAGAAAAACAAAACTTGATCTGCTAGCGATGGCCTCCAACCTAGTAGCGATGGCCTCCAACCTACTATATAGCGGTAGCCGCCAACTTAGTAGCGATAGGGATGACCGCCAACCTAGTAGCGATGCCCTCCAACCTACTAGCGATGGCCTCCAACCTAGTAGCGATGGCCTCCAGCCTCGATGGCCTCTAGAGATACATATCTCATATCTGTATGTCTAGGTCATATCTAGGTGTCATCATCTAGCCACAGCGTTCCTCACAGGGCCTTTGGAGGCGGCGCGCCAGGTCCGCTGGGTTTCACGATCGCCTCTCACATCCAATCCAAAACCATGGATACGTTATAAGTTTGTATACTGTGTATTACTGTTC